TTTTTTTTTTTTTTTGAAGACATGGTCTTGCCAGATCCCAAAGCTGCCCAAGCTGCTGGACTCAAACTTGCGATCCTCCTGACTCAGCCTCCTAGGGTGCTAGGATTACAAGTGTGCACACCACACACCCAGCTGTAAACTGTGGTGCAGTGTGACCTCCACCCAAATCAAGAACTGGGACCCTGTTCAGTACCCTGAAGACTCCTCCATGTCCTTTCCCACTACACTGATCACCCCACACACACCAGGGAATTCCTTCCCCACAGACTGACTTGGCCCCTCCATAGACTTCACGTAAGCTGAATCCTAGGGGATGAATTCTTTTGTGTCTGGATCGTGCAGTGAACACAATATCTGGACTTCCATCAGTGCTATCGTATGTGTTTTATTTAGTTGTTGAAAATACCAAATAAAATAACAGGAGGAAGCAACTTAGAAATAATTGTTGTAAAATACAAAAATATACCGAGAGTCACATTAGCCAAGTTTCAGGCACTCTGTAGAATGTAAGCTCCTCTGGAGGAGCACTACACCCACTCATTCTCATATTTCCATCCCTTAGAATTATACCTAACTTATGATAGGGACTCAGCCAAATCTGACTGATCTAAAAATTAGTATCATTTGTTTATTTGGCAGATGTCGCAGAACATGGTGCCTTTTCAGTAAACCTTAGTATTTTTGTTGTTTGAGGGTGTGTGGTGTTTGGGGGGTTGTTTGCTTGCTTGCTTGCATTTTGCAGCTTGGGGGATGGAACCCGGGGCCTCATGCACCCTAGGCAAGTGCTCTACCCCCAGCCCTATCTCAGGATTTTTTATTATGAAGCTAATTGATACACCTTAGATACACAATGCGATGGCATTCGTCATTGGGAAAGTGCACCTTTACATGACAGATCTGGGTCCTTATTTTTTCCTCATTCCCCCGCCCTCTCTTCAACCCTCCCACCCCTCCCTATTTACAGAGACTCTGTTTCCATTTTTTTCCTTTTCTCATATTTTTTCTTTTCCTTTCTTTCCTTCCCCTTACCCCTCCCACCTCCCCTTCCCCTTTAGACCTTTTCTTCCTATTTCACATTATCTATTATACCTTTTGATCCTTACTTACACTTTCGGTTTTCACACCAGAAAAAATATTTGGTATTTACACACGTGTGTCCTGTTTGTTTCACTTAGGAGTATGGCCTCGATGTACGTCCATTTAGCTATGAATGCCTCTATTTTCTCATTCTTTGTGGCTGAGTAGTACTCCATTTTTTAAACCCATCTTCTTTTTCATCTCCAGTTGATGGGCAATGGGGCTGTTTCCAAGTTTTAGCTTTTACAAACTGTGCCGCTATAAACATGGGTGTACATATATCACTGTGATATGATTCTTTTAATTCATTTGGGAAGATACCCAGCAGGGGAATAGCTGGGTCAAAAGGGACCTCTAATCCTAGTTCTTTGAGGTATCTCCATGTTGATTTCCATACTAATTTCCACAGTGGTTGCACCAGTCTGCACTCCCACCAACAGTGGAGAAGGGTTCCTTTCTCCCCACAACCGTGCCAGCATTTATTGTTGTCTTTTTGTTTGGTTGGTTGTTGTTGTTTGTTTTTCTTTTGGTACCAGACTTCGAACTCAAGACCTTGTGCTTATGAGGCAGGCGGCAGCACCACTGAGCTAACTCCCCAGGCCTAGTTGATTTCATGATAACAGCTGTTCTTTCTGGGTGAGGTAGAATCTCAGTGTTGTTTTCATCTGCATCTCTTGAATGACTGGTGATGTTGAACATTTTTTCATATGTTTATTTGCTGCTTTTACTTCTTTGTCTGAGAAATGTCTGTTCATTTCAGAGGCCCATTTTTGAATTGGGTCTTTAAATTTGGGGGGCCCGTTTTTTTTAAGTAAGTTCTTTATATATTCTAGATAGTAGTCCTTTGAGGAACAGCTGGTAAAACATTTTCCCACATTGTAGGGTGTCTTTTAGCTTTGTTGGTGGTCTCTCACCCACCTCAGATTTTTTGAATCACAGCCTGACCAGCCTCCCCTACCTCCCCATGACCAGCCTGCCCTGCTGACCTCTGCCCTCTGCCTTCTCTCTGGGTGCTTTACCCACGTGATCCATTTCCAGTCCATGGCTTCCTCCTTGGGACCCTGGGGTGGTGACGCACCAGAGAAGAGAGGGAGCTGGAGGCCAGCAGAGCTGAACAGCTCAAAGACCTTGCAGAGCCCTGTCAGGACAGGATGGTTCCCAGGCAAGGAAAAGAGCCAGACACAGCATGCCTAGACCTGGGTGTCAGAGAAGAGACCGTGGTGTGCCAGTACGGGGCGCTTGGAGGGTGCTGGCTGGGACTCCAGGCCGGAGCAGGGAGCCCACCGGTCTGTCTCGGGTCCTTGACCCCTCCTCCTTGACATGCACCATGGCGGGTACCACACACCCCAGCTGCCAGGGCACCCGTCAATCCAGCTGTTCCTGAGCAATGGATTCCTGTTGCCAAGATATGGATTTGGTTTTAATAACAGTTAGTGCAAACACTGTAAATTTACTGCTGCGAGAGAGAGTTTTTGAAAACGTCCACTCTGGCTATAATTTTTCAGCCGCGCCAGCTGTTTGTGCTCAGCTCATACCTGACACGGTGCTTTGAAATAGCAATCACTGTATTTATAAGAAGGCAAGGACTCATAAATATGTCACAAGTGGAATATACAATGCCATATTTCACCATTTTCTATTTTAAAATTGTGAGTTATGGCTGCAGAAATGCACGCCCATTAAAGGTGATATGATGTATTTTCTGCCCTGTTCAGGAGTCCATCCATCATTGAGACAATAAAGAAAACCGCACTTACTTTTTTCCTGTCGCCTGTAATTTATGATCCCCAAAAAGCTGTAACCTTTTGGCAGGCTTTGCAGAAACCACTGCACTGTTAGCAACTAAATAACCTTTTATAAGGTTTTAAATGTGTTGCTACAGTCTCAATGCACTTGCTGTATCGATCCAGAAGATCTTGGGGGGAAAAGAAACGTAGGGGGAGGAATGGAAGAAGAAGATCTATAACAAGATCGATAATGGCGTATATAGATTGTTGAAAGATGCTGCTAATGATTTTCAACAGCCATCATCTTTCAGCGTGCCACGCCCTATCTCTTAGGCTTTGGTCTTGGCTCGGAATTGACTGACCTTGCTTTCCAGCAGCCTCCCTCTCTCCCTCCCTCCCTCCCTCCCATCGAGCAGCCAGACTGGGAAGCAGCTGAACGCATTGGCCACCACAGGCTACACACAGAAAGCTCTGAGAAGCATAGAGCCGGACAATACATCCACGACTGTCTCAGGGTGCAGATGAACAAACTGAGACCCAGCCCGGATGGCCCAGGGGCAGAGGACAGACGGCAGAAGAGAGCAGCGCAGGGATCAGATGCCTGGGTGTCAGTCAGTCCACCCTTTCTCCAATTCCACCCCACTTCTCAGGTTTGCCCCGGAGAAAAGGGTGTGGGCAGAGCAGGTGAATGCACTTCTGGCGAGCTTTAGAGACCCAATAAATCTCCTGCCAGCAAGGACTAGTGGAAAGACACTGAGCTTGGGAATGAGAAAGAACAGGACTGAATCCTGCCACCACTTTTCACGCCCACGGGCAGGTAACCTGCCCAGGTCTCTGTTCCTCCACTGATGCCAGTCCTAACCTAGCTCGTAAGGTGGTGGAGAACAGATCTTTATGCCAGTAAGAAACAAGAATCGAAGCCCCCCGGAAATCAGACCCTACTCAGCTTCCTACCTTCCTTGGCATTTTCTGTGTTCTCCTTCTTCTCCCTCTTTCCTATCTTGTCCTGCAGGACAACGGCCATGGAAACCTTGAGGGAAGAGCCAGCTATGGAGCAGAGTAGGATGACCCTGCAACAATCGTGGGCTATCACTACCGAAAGCAACTGCAGAGAACCTGATTTTCTCCTCCAAACATAAGCGGAGCCAAGCTCCCAAAGCACGGAGGCCAGGCCCGTACACTTTTCTGGGAGGCCATGTGTAATTGAGCTTTAAGACTGTATTCTTAGCTGTGATCATTTGCAGGTTTAAAAAGTTCGAGTGAGGCAACCAGCCTGTGGCCCAATGGATGTGCCTCAGCACACTCACAGTTAGGCCTCGACTCACCTACAAGACAGCGCTGGGGCAGGAAGCACTCACTGCAAAGGCAGATCTGGCCACAGCCTGTGGCTACAGTAAGGTTTCACTAGAATACAGCCACGCCCATTCGTGTTAATTCCTGTGACGGCTTTGTGAGCTGGTCAGCAGAGTTGAGTGGCTCCAGCACAGGCCGTAAGGCACACCAAGCTGAAAGTGCATATGAACTTGCTCTTTCTCCAAAATATTGCAAACCTAGGTCCTCGACTCCGTGCAACGATGGAGCAGAGGCTTCTGGGTAGAGGCAATCTGTGATCTGCATATGTGTAAGAATTTACTGCCTACCAAGTGATCTCATGGACACGATCTGGGGTAAATCCTCCAGGCAACACTTGAGATGGAGGTCGTTATTCCCGCTTTACAAAAGAGCATCCCAAGACCCAAGGAGAAGGACAACTCGCCGAAGAGCATACAAACAGTCAGAGGTAGAGAGCGAAAATGGCCCAGAGTAACTGACCCAAGATCCAAACCTGCCTTACTCTTCCACCCTGAAATCAGGAAACCTTATCACTCAGCAGCTGGTGGCCGTGGGAGGTCACTCAACCTCTGTGCACCTCCGTGTCCTCAAATCCAACATGAGGGTTCTCTAAGTGGAGAGTTACTAGAGCACTCATTGAAATGATGCTAAGGGACTCACCAAGAAAAACTCATGGCACAAGTACCTGCAAAACATTTCCTGGAGCAAAACCCTATTCCCTTGCCCAATCTGGCACCTGCTGCACCCATAGACAGGACATAGGAGAAGGCGGTGAGGCAGGCTTGGGGATGGGAAAGAAGGGAAGGGGCCTATGTGAGGCCCTGACCTTCCCGAAGCCCCCAAGAGCCTCTGAGCCCCAGTGAGCTGCACTGGACCATGGAGGCGTTGCCAGTGGGCACAGAAAGGCTATGCAGCCTCCACAGCCAGAGCAATGTGCAAGGCCAGAGAAGTGCCCACGCCTCATCAGTGCTGTGCTGCCTCCACACCTACTGGGGTAAGGAGGGCAGGGCAGGTGATCACAGGACAAGGGCAGTCGGCCCACTGCCTCACGTCCTGCCGTCTCTCTGCGTTAAAGTCACTACCTCTCCCTCTCTTTTCCTACACTTTCCTGGAGCACATCCCCCCAAAATCATTATTAACATTATAAATAAAAAGAGAGGCAAGTTATTAAATGTAAAATATGCAAAGTTCCTCCCAGAACTCGCCGGGCAGTTCATAAATGTGACGGCTTAATTTCACTCCCGATCCAAGCAGCTGATGAAGCATCTCCTGCTCTGGGGCTAATTGCAGCTGTTAACGAAGTGCGGGGAGAGATGATGATGATGATGGACCGCTTCTTTCCCGCCTGCAGGGGTCAGAGCGGCCTGGACCAAGATGGCATCCACAGCGCCTTTGTGTCACTGCAGCCATGCAGCAGGGGCCTGGAAATTCCCTGGCAGGGAGCTCGGCCCAGCTGGGAGCCTGGCCCAGCTGGGAGCCTCATCTGGAACCACTAAGAGCCAAGAGGGTTCCTCCCTCTCACCCAGGGCTGTGGTCTGGGTAAGCGTCCCCCGAAGCCTTGTGCGTGGAAGGCTTGATCCCCAGCCCATCAAGCTGTTGGGAGGTGGTGGGACTTTATTGGGAGAGGCCTGGGTGAGGAGGACAGGCCCGTGAAGGAGATCTTGTGATGTACCCTTCCCGCTCCCTGCTTTGCAGATGCCACGAGGTCACCTGGCTTCCTCTGACTCGCATTCCTACCATAAGGGGCACCCCACCACCACAGGCCCAAAGCAGCAGGGCCTTCTGGTAAGGGATGGAAACTATGAGCCAAAATAAACCTCTCATCTCTGTAAGCAGCGGATCTCAGCTATCTTGTCTCAGTAAAGTAAAGCTAACCACTAGACCTAGAGAAAAGTATCTCAAACAGAGACTGGGACAGGGTCTTAAAGGATTGGTTTTAGGGTGTAAGGGATGCTGGCTCTCAGAGGACCTTGCACTCAAAACACATGCTGAGTAGAAACAACCCAGATGTCTACGAACAGATGAACAGACAAACGTCTTGGGGCATACGCGCACAGCGGACCATTATGCAGAGAATAAAGTGCTGTACTGACACACTCTAGAACACAGAAGCAAAAGCACTGTGTGAGTGACACAGTCCAGGCACAGAAGTTCACAGGGTACAACTTCATGTCTAGGAGCGATCCACAGAAACAGAAGGTAGATGAGTGGTTGTGGGGCGTGAGTGGGGGCAGTGGAGAGGGACTGCTCAGTGCCTGCGGGACTCCACCTGGGGGTGAGGAAAGTATTTTGGGTTCGGCAGACGTAGTGCTGCACATTACTATGAATGACTCAGTGCTGCTGAACTGTTCACCTTAGAGGCTTAATCTGAGCCGGATGCAGGGGTGCATACCTATCATCCCAGCACTGAAGGAGGCTGGGACAAGAAGTTCACAATTTTGACTCTCACCTGGGTGACTCAGTGAGACCCTATCTCAAAAAACAAATGTTAACAAGAGCTGAGAAAGGAGTAAAAATGATCAAAATGCAACTTGTACATGTACCATTTCCCCAAGATGCATGTAATTATTATGTATTACAAACATATAAATAATAACAAATTTTAAAATATGCAGGCATTACAAAATGGCTGGAGATGTAGCTCAGCAGTAGAGTGACCCTGGGTTCAATCCCCAGCATTGCAGGGGGGTGTGATTTTGTATTATGCAAATTTCATCTCCATTTTTAAAAGTTGGGAAAAAACCCAAACCCAGGCTGAGCTTTATTTGATGCATCTGCATCTATGAATTTGAGCACCTGTCCATGAGCTCCCAATCCCCTCATCTCAAAACCTGATCAAGCTCTAGCCCTGTGATCCGGTCTGAAAGTCCTCTAGCTTCTAGTCTCTCCAACTCATTCAAGCACAAAAAATAGCTCCCAGCCTGCCCAACTGAGAGGCATGGAGACTGAACAAGTCCTTGGGAGAGAGAGCTCGGTATAGCAGAAACAAGACAGAGTTTGAAGTCAAGACTGCTTTACTACATTTCTGGTTCTGCTACCTATGAGATCTTGAGTAAGCCCCCTAAATTCTCTGGTCCTCAATTTCCTCATCTATAAAATAAAAATGGTGATATCCAGCCTGCCCTCTTCAGAGATACTTTATTGTATTATCATTGTGTTAGCCAGGTTTCTGTTACTAACTATAACATACCTGAGATGATAAACTTTTTAAAAGGAAAGGTTTATATCAGCTCACAGTTTCAGGGTTTCTGGTCTTGATGAGCCGGGCCCTTTGCTTTGGGCCTATGGAAAAATAGCACATCATGGCAGGAGTATGTGGTGGAGAAAAACCACCTACTTCATGGCCAGGAAGCAAAAGAGAGAAAGAGGAAGGGATCAGGGTCCCACAGTCCCCTTCAAGGACACACTCCCAAAGACCTAAAGACATCCCACCAAGCCTCACCTCTCACAGGATCCTCACAACAGCACCACCCAGGAGAGCAAGTAGTTAAAACAGGGCCCTCTGGAGGACACTTACAATACCTAGCCTTCTTTATTGGTAACTAATTACTTTGAAACCAGTGTATTAGCCAACAAGCATTTATTAAGTCACTGCTAAATTCCTAGTCATATTTAATGATATTCAGAGAACAGAGGAACTGAGTACTAGTTGGTTAGGTAAGAGTAGGCATGAGCGACAATCCATGTCAGGTGGGCGTGGTGGCACATGCCTATACTCCCAGCACTCCGAAAACAAGCAGGAGAATACCTATGAATTCAAGGCCAGCCTGGGCTGCGTGGTGAGTTCAAGGCCAGCCTGAATTCCATAGCAAAACGCTGTCTCAAAAAAAAAAAAAAAAGAGAGAGAGACAATCCATGCCTTCCATATAGAAGATAAAACTAACATGAATAGAAGCACTGGAAACACATTGGTAATCTACAGCTGGTCCTGGTGTCCTGATGAGGGAAACTTTGAAAGTTAAACTTGCCTTCTAGTTGTGCTCTGCTGTCAACTCTTTGAGTAATTAAAAGATTTTGGCTGTGGCTGTTTTGTTTTTAAAATGAAAGCATTAAAGTTCTCAAAGACTCTTTCTAACTTTAAAATTTGATACTACGCTAAATTAAAAAACAAAACCAGAAAATGTATTTTTAGTAAATAAGTCAAAACATAGACATTCTTAATATAGAAAGTGGCTTTTCAAAATATCCAAAACAAAACAAAGCAAAACAAAAGCCAGGTAAAGAACACAGTGTTCTGTACTAAAGTTTTTACATTAAATACAATTTTAAAGAACTAAAAGCAGTCTAAATCCAAACCAATAAGGATAGTTTTTATTTCGATCATAGTACAGTCCTATCACATAATCATTGATAATAAAAATTTTTAATAATATTTAATGATAAAAGAAAGTATTCATAATAAAAGAGGAAAAATAAATATGAAAACTTTCATGAATCACACCGTTTTTTCTTTTAAAAAAAGACAGTCATAGATAGATGATAGTTATGGAATAACAGTATGCTAAATATATATGTGTGTGTGTGTGTGTGTGTGTGTGTGTGTGTGTGTGTGTATGCTAAAGAGTTAACAGCAGTTATCTCTGTGGAGGGGGGTAATGATTTTATTTCCCCTTTATAAGATTTGGATGCTTCTCTGAATTTTGACAATGAGCATTTTATTTTCTAATTTAGTAAAGGTATGCATAATCTATGACATAACAGAAAAGCAAATTCAGAGTTTTACATTCAGCTCCATTAAAATTTCATTGTAGCACCAAAATGATAAAATCTTCACTAAAATAAATTTCAAAGGCTATTAAAGATGACTTTTATTTTTCTGCCGTTGTTTCTCTATAACAGCATCTATCTCACTTAATTGTTGATTAGCCTATCTATATTTTCAACTCTATTTAAAATTCCTTGAGGATAGTGTTACAGTGTAAATCTAAAATGTCCCTCAGAGTCTCATGGGTTTCAAATTGGGACTTTTGGGCGGTGATTGTACCATGGCTACTGGATCCATCTATTACAGAGTTCACAGATGAATGTGCTGGTAGGAGGTGGGTCCTGCTCCAAGAGGTAGATCACTGGAGCATGACCTTGTAGGGTGTGTTTTTGTCACCAGCTCCTTTGTCTCTATTTTCTGGCTGCTATGAGGTGAGCAGCTTTCTCCTACCATACCATTCCACCATATTTCTGTCTTTGAGCCAACAACCACGAGTAGATTAACCCTCTGAGACTATGAGCCAAAATAAACCTCTCTGCCTTACATTATGCACTGAGTATTTTGTCCCACCAAAGGGTAAGTGACTAATCCAGGCAGACACCCAGTCATATATATTCACAGCACCAAATACTATTTGGACAAGAGGCAGTAGAAATTGAGGTGAGCTTTGAAGGATGGGTAGTAGTGAATATTTCTAAGTGTGTTCATCTATCTAGTAAACCTGCCCGGCCCAAGCAGTGTGCTGGGCATTGATGATCCATGGCTAAAAATGACAGAGCCTCATTGTGTGGAACTCACACCATAAGGATGAAGATAGACACATGTGAAAATCATGGGAATAAAATAATATAGTAGTCCTCCCTAATGTGAAGTTTCACTTTCAAAAATTTCAGTTACCTGTAGCCAATTGTAGTCCTACAGTATAAAATGAAAAATTCCAGAAATAAATAAGTCATATAATTTAAACAATTGATGCTGCCACTCTGAGCAGCATGATGAAGTCTCACTCCATCTTTCCAGGACATCCAGCACATCCACACTGTATATGCTACCTTCCCATTAGTTACCTAGTAACCATCTGGGTTATGAGGTGAACTATTGTAGTATTGCAGTGCTTTTGCATAAGATTAGATTTTATATGAAGGTACATGCATCCACTGGAGGCCTTGGAGTATCTCTCTGTAGATAAACGGGACTACTGGAAAACTGGAAGAGGAAGCTGTCCGTCCTTCTGGTGCCCGGAAGCAGGAAGAGAAGCAGAGGGAAAGGGACAGGCCATGAAGACGACGTTCGAGGGAGATGAGAAGACAGAAGAGGAGTAGGAGACAACCCCTTTCAGAACCCTGTATCCTTCCTCATCAACCATTTCCACTCAGAGTTTACAAGTAAGGCAACCAAGACACTAAGAACACCTTCTTAGAGAGCTCACACGTGACCTGGAGTCTGAGTTGGTGTCCAAGCAACAGAGCCTGCAAAATCATCTTGCAAATTGGGCCTTGATGCCTAACTCTAGGAATTATGGAATTACATGTCCAACTCTAGCTGGGTATTTATTTTAACCTTAAGGAGAGACGATCCTTCATATGTGAATCTTATAACCCTGGGGCTTGTATCACAACACCGCTATCTCTTGGCAGAAAAGTTTCTTTTCAGGTCTGGATCCCTGGTTTCTAAATGGGGCTGCCTCACCTGATGAGCTGGTAGAACTTGCCCAAGGAGTTCCCTAGAAGCATAGCATCTCTTGGATACAGGAAGGGGGTTTTATCTACCCAGGAAACATCGGCTTCTACCTCAGAGTTATTACCAGCTGTGATCTGGAATGTATTATTCGAAC